AAAAAAAAAAAAAACACTTCCAAACCTTTTTACCCCTTTCTACCTCCAACTCCTCCTACGATGCCACTATATAAACTAAATTCCTTTATTTCTAATCCTTCTCATTTTATTCAAAAATTTCAATTTATTACTATATCCTATAAACTTACCTAACATAATATTTTTATTATTTTACCTAATACCCTGACCTCTAACTAACGCAAACGAGTGTGGGAGAGGGTGAGAGAGGCAGCAAATCGATTTCATATATCAAACAATAAGCATCCTACAAACCACACTACAATCCCTAACTCCCAGCCAAATTATGATAATAATGCTGGGAGAAAAGTAGAAACATTTTTATTACCTACATTCTTTGCGAACTTAAGGCTTCCGCCAAAAAGTCTATCAATTATAATAAATTACAGAAAGTCATACAAAATAAATCTAAAAATCCTTCAATGCCTTATCAAGGCTTTTATTAAATATACTAACTTAAATCCTAAAACTATTACTGGGAAAAATGTTCTTATAACTTATTTCTTTAACCAAAGTTACCCCGACATCAAACTTTTTTTTTTTTTTTTTTTTTTTGAGACAGAGCCTCAAGCTGTTCCCCTGGGTAGAGTGCTGTGGCATCACAGCTTACAGCAACCTCCAACTCCTGGGCTCAAACGAGTCTCCTGCCTCCGCTTCCCAAGTAGCTGGGACCACAGGCGCCCGCTACAACACCTGGCCATTTTTTGGTTGCAGCCGTCATTGTTGTTTGGCGGGCCCAGGCTGGATTCGAACCCACCACCTTAGGTGTATGTGGCTGGCGCCTTAGCCAGTTGAGCCACAGGCGCCCAGCCGCGACATCAAACTTAAGCTAAAACACTTGGATCTAAAACACAGTGTTACAGCCTCACCTATACAACCTCTCCCCAGAGCAATTCTCACAGGAACCTTTGCCCTCTGGGACATTAAAAGTGCCCCCCCAAAATACACAGAAACTCAAGAATTGCTCCTTTCCTTCAGCTTTTCTACTTGCCTTGATGACACCAACGTCTTTTTCCTGTGCAGAGTCTGTGCCTCCCAACACACTGGACCAGCACCTGCACACTGGTCCTGCTTTCCCCTGATCTATCCCTCCTCCCAGGCAATGAGCAAATTCCAGTCCGTCCTCACACCCTACCAAGAGCTAACCCACCATCCCACTAATCCCTCTGCTAGGAGGACCAGGCACCGTGCAGGGGTTTCCACTGGAACTGCTGGCCTAGGAATTGCTACCCACAAGTTCCAAATAACATCCACAGAACTGGCCAGGAGCCTCCAGGAAGAATCTGATCAGTTAGTTCCAAGTCATCCAAGACCAGGTAGACTCCCTGGTACCAGCAGTTCTCCAAAATCATAGAGGCTTGGATCTACTCACAGCGAGGGAAGGGAAACACTGCACTTTCTTACAGGAGACCTGCTATTTCCAGACCAGCAAGTCTGTCCAGGTCTGAGAGGGCATCACCTGACTCCAGGAACAAACAACCCATCCCTGCTCTCAAAATGAGAGATCCTGGTTCAATAGCCCGTGGGGACGCTGGATTACACCCCTCATGGGCCTCTTCACTGCAATCCTCCTGTGATTAACCATTGCCCCTGTGTCATCCAAATCCTGCCCCCATTTATTCAAGACAGGATAGAAAAGGTGGCAGCTGCAGTTGTAACCCAGTCACTACTACTCCTTTCTCTCCCAATGTACCCCCGACCCTTGCAGCCCTACTAACACCTGACTCATCCCACTGAGGACAATTATGGGCCCTATCCAGTGAGAAGCAGTTCTGGGAGACTGACCTTCAACCCCATCACCGTCACCCCTTTTATAAAGAGTTGGGCGTGTTAGGGGTCTAAACCCTTCCCCCACTTCTCATCCTTCCCTTCCCAGACCAAAAGACCTACATGACCCCATCCCCAAGAAATCCAGCAGAAAGACCCTAGCCAGCCAAAACCTTCCAGCAACCTGTGGAATCTTCCTCCCCTACATCCAATATAAAAACAAGCTCCCAAGCCCTCTTGGTACAGACACCATCTTGGACCAG